TGCGAGTGCGCCCCGCAGCTCAGGTCGGTGCTGTGCCACCGCAAGCGCCTCACCTCCATCCCCGAGGGCATCCCCACCGAGACCAAGATCCTGGAGCTCAACAAGAACCGAATCCGTTGCCTCAACCCCGGGGACCTCTCCCCGTACCCGCTGCTGGAGGAGCTGGATTTCAGCGAGAACATCATCTCCAACGTGGAGCCGGGAGCCTTCGGCAACTTGTTCAACCTGCAGACCCTGCGGCTGCGGGGCAACCAGCTCAAGCTCATCCCTCCGGGGGTCTTCACCAAGCTGACCAACCTCACCCTCCTGGACATCAGCGAGAACAAACTCGTCATCCTGCTGGACTACATGTTCCAGGACCTGCGAAACCTGAAGAGCCTGGAGGTGGGGGATAACGACCTGGTGTACATCTCCCAACGGGCCTTCTCAGGGCTGCTGGGCCTGGAGCAGCTGACCATTGAGAGGTGCAACCTGACCTCCATCTCGGCCGAGTCGCTCTCCTACCTCCAGAACCTGGAGGTGCTGCGGCTCCGGCACCTCAGCATCTCTGCTCTGGAGGACCAAAACTTCAAGAAGCTCTACAACCTCCTGCAGCTGGAGATCGACAACTGGCCGCTGCTGGAAGACGTCTCCCCCACCAGCTTCCAGGGCCTGAACCTCACCTCGCTCTCCATCACCTACACCAACATCACAGCCGTGCCCGCCGCTGCCTTGAGGAACCTGGTGTACCTCCGGTACCTGAACCTGTCCTACAACCCCATTAGCACGGTGCTGAAGGGCTCTTTTAAAGACCTCATCCGGCTCCAGGAGCTCCACATCGTGGGCGCTCTCCTGGTCTCCGTGGAGCCGCAGGCTTTCTCCGGCCTGAGACAAATCCGGCTGCTCAACCTCTCGGGGAACTTTCTCTCCACGCTGGAGGAGAGCACCTTCCACTCGGTCAACACGCTGGAGACGCTGCGGGTGGACAGGACCCCCCTGGCCTGCGACTGCCGCCTCCTCTGGATCCTGCAGCGCAGGAAGACGCTCAACTTCGACGGGCAGCAGCCCGTGTGCTCCTCGCCCCCCGAGATCCAGGGCGACGCCCTGAGGGACTTCCCGGACTCGGTGCTCTTCGAGTACTTCACCTGCCAGAAGCCCAAGATACGGGATCGGAAGCTGCAGCACGTGACGGCGCGGGAGGGACAGTCGGTGACCTTCCTCTGCCGGGCGGACGGGGAGCCGGACCCCTCCATCTCCTGGGTGTCCCCCCAGCACCGCATGATCGGCGGTGGGGGCGCCCCCGTGCTGCCCGGGGGCACCCTGGAGATCCGCTTCGCCCAGGTGCAGGACAGTGGCACCTACATCTGCATCGCCAGCAACGCGGGGGGCAACGACACCTACTTCGCCACCCTGACGGTGACGGGGCGCCCGGGGGACAGGTCCCCCCGTGCCAACCGGACTCTGTACCTCGGGGACTTCAACGACACGGCCCACAACGACACGCAGGTCTTCTTGAAGTTCACCTTGGACCTCAAGACCATCCTGGTCTCCACGGCCATGGGTTGCATCACTTTCCTGGGCGTGGTGCTCTTCTGCTTCCTCCTCCTCTTCGTCTGGAGCCGGGGCCGGGGGCAGCACAAGAACAACTTCTCGGTGGAGTACTCCTTCCGCAAGGTGGACGGGCCCACCACCACCACCGGCCAAGGGGGAGCCAGGAAGTTCAACATGAAGATGATCTGAGCCTCTCCCAGAGGAGAACCGTTCTCTGCTGCCCGGCCCCGGGCACGGCCGTGGTGGGACAAGGGCCGGGAGGGTGCCCTGGGAGCACCAACCACACCCCAGTGCTGGTGGCAGGACCTGGCTGTGCTGGGATGTGGCTGGAGACACGCTGGAGGTGCCACATGGGGACCTCGGGGTCAGGGAGAGCTGATTGCCACCGTCCCAGCCCCACGGTGCGGGTGCGACGGCTCGGGGGCCATCCCAGCTCCAGGGGCTCCCAATGTAGCCAACATTTTTGCTACCAACTATGCAAGTAGCCAAGAGATCAGCAGCGTTTGGGCCTGGGAAAGGACAAAAACTGCTTCCTTTTTTTCCTCCCCCTTTCTTTTTTTTTTTAAGAGACTCTCCGGAAAACTTTCCTGGTGGTTGTTTATGGTCCTTCCCTTTTCTTGTGGTCAGTTTGGGGTTTTTTTGGTCCAACGATGGGGTTTTTTTTTTAATGAATTTCCAAGAGAAAAGTCTTCCGGGGCGACGCGGGACTGGGGTGCCGGGGGAGGTTGTGCCAAGCTGGGGGTCACCCCCAGCCCCTTGGCAAAGCTGGACCCCCCCCAGGCATGGCTGTGCCTTGAGAGCTTCCCATCAGTGGATTTAAGACACAACATCTACAAACGTGGGTGCCCGGGACACTCCTGCTCAAGCAATAATAACCCACCCAAGGCCGGGCTCTGAGGAGGTGGCAGAAAGGAAAAAAAAAAATGGGAAAAAAAATGATAAAATGAGGCCAGGGTCATTAAAATCAGGAGGAGCAGCCCCAGGGTGTTGCAAGGTCCTGGCTTTGAATCCGTCCAAGCCACTGTGGGAGCAGTGGGGGGGAAGAGGGGGGGGGGCAGGAGACATACGGGTGCAAAAGGCAATTTTGGGTCCATT